ACATGGTGGCAGTGGCCAAGGGGACGCGGTGGTGTTGGGGAGGAGAGATGGAGCCACCGCTCCCACCCCCCCATCACCCCCAAACTCCCCCCAAGAGCCCAGGGCAAGGAGGGGCACCAACAAGGGGGTGACGGAGCCACCTCCCCATCCCCATCTCCCCCCCCCCACAAACTGGGAGACCCGGAAGTGTTGGGGGGGGGGGGGGGGCTTTAATTCCCCCCCCCAACCTCCCGGGTAGGCCCAAGCGGGACGAGGCCACCAAGATGGGAACCCACCACCGAAAGAACCCCAAAGCCCCCCCCAAAATGTGAACCCACCACCCAAAGAAATCCAACCAGTCCCCAAAACGTGTTGGAAATTGAGAAATAGGTTCCACCCCGACCCCAAAATGATGGTTTTTCTCCTCGTTTTTTCTCTCTTCTGGCAGCTCCGGGCCCACCGGTGGCGGCGGCGGTGAGGTCCCACTTCAACGATTGTCCCGACTCCCACAGCCAGTTCTGCTTCCACGGGACCTGCCGGTTCCTGGTGCAGGAGGACAAGCCGGCCTGCGTGTGAGCGTTGGGGGACACCAACCTGGGGTTCAACCTGCCCTTCTGTGCTCTGCTCCTCACGTTGATGGTCTTCTCCTCCTGTCCCCGGGCCTTGGGTTGATGGTCTTCTCCCAAAATGTTCTCAGGCTGATGTTCTTCTCCCCAGTCCTTGTGTCAATGGTCTTCTCCTCCCCTCCCTGGTCCTCAAGTTGATGGTCTTCTCCTCCCCTCCCTGGTCCTCGGGCTGATGTTCTTCTCCCCACCCTTGGTCCTTGGGCTGATGTTCTTCTCCCCGATCCCTGGTCCTCGGGCTGACGTTTTCTCCCCACCCCTGGTCCTCAGACTGATGTCCTTCTCCTCCCATCCCTGGTCCTCAGGTTGATGGTCTTCTCCCAAGATGTTCTCAGGCCGATGTTCTTCTCCCCAATCCTTGGTCCTCGGGCCAATGTCCTTCTCCTCCACCCCTGGTCCTCGGGCTGATGGTCTTCTCCTCCCTGGTCCTTGGGCCAGTGCCCTTCTCCCCACCCCTGGTCCTTGGGTTGATTTCCTTCTCCCAAGCCCTGGTCCTCGGGCTGATGGTCTTCTCTTCCACCCCTGGTCCTCAGGCTGCTGTCCTTCTGCCCAGCCTGGTCCTTGGGCTGATGTCCTTCTCCTTCACCCCTGGTCCTCGGGCTGATGGTCCTCTCTCCTCCCTGGTCCTTGGGTTGATGTCCTTCTCCTCACCCCTCGTCCTCGGGTTGATGGTCTTCTCCCAAGATGTTCTCAGGCCGATGTTCTTCTTCCCGATCCTTGGTCCTCGGGCCAATGTCCTTCTCCTCCACCCCTGGTCCTCAGGCTGAAGGTCTTCTCCCCAACCCCTGATCTTTGGGCCGATGGTCTTCTCCCCACCCTGGTCCTTGGGCTGATGTCCTTCTCCTCACCCCTGGTTCTTGGGTTGATGGTCTTCTCCCAAGCCCTGGTCCTCAGGCTGATATCCTTTTCTCCATCCTTGGTCCTCGAGCTGATGGTCTTCTCTTCCACCCCTGGTCCTCAGGCCAATGTCCCTCTACCCCTCCCTGGTCCTTGGGCTGATGTTCTTCTCCCCTCCCTGGTCCTCAGGATGATGTCCTTCTCCCAACTCCTGGTCCTCAGGCTGAAGGTCTTCTCCCCGCCCCCTAATCTTTGGGCCGATGTTGATGCTTTTCCCCCCCCAGATCCTCACGCGATGCTGATGCCCCCCCATATCTGTTTGTCCCCCCCATAACCTTCTCCCCACCGCAGGTGCCACTCCGGCTACGTGGGGACGCGCTGCGAGCACGCCGACCTGCTGGCCGTGGTGGCCGCCAACCAGAAGAAGCAGACCATCACCGCCCTCCTGGTGGTCTCCGTGGTGGCCTCCGTCCTCCTCATCGGCGTCTGCGTCCTCATACAGTAAGTTATGGGGCAGGGGGGGGGTTCAGCACCCCCCCTTGAGCTCCTTAGGGGGCAGGATTTGACCTGAGACCCCCCCCCAAATCTTGATTGATTGTCCCCCTTCCTCTTCCAGCTGCTGCCGACTGCGGAAGCGATGCCAATGGTGCCGGGGGGCCGGGGGGGCCCCCGAAAAACCGGGGGGGCTACTAAAAGGTGGTCCCTCCTGTTGCCACGCCGAGATGGAGAAGGGGA